TGCTTCACCTATGTCTGTATTGCGGCTTCTTCCCCCGTTCCCTGGCTGCTCAGTCAAAACCCGGGGAGAAGCCCCAGCTCACCCCTCTGGTGCCCACGGGCATGGGGTTGGGGTTCTAGGGGTTGGGTCATTTGAGGGAAACTTCTGCCGATGGTTTTGTTCGCTCTTCACTACAACACACGTTTTCCATCCTTCTTTTATTTTGGGGGGGTGATGCTGATGAGGTCAAAGTAGCAGTGGGCATCTCTGTTCGCGATTCCCAGGTTCTTCCGTATTTTCTTCCATATTTTCAAGAACGGAAATATTAAATAATACAGATGCTCAGGATCAGAGCTGGAAAGTAGAAACGTTTACTGGAAAGTAGAGAAAAGAAAAGGAGGTCCCCAGACGGGGAGGAACTTAGCATAGGATTAAGTTAAAGGGAACTTTGTGTGTGTCCTCTTAAAGGCTCCTTGCATGCTTTATCGGTTGACAAGGATTTACACGAGATGCCAGAAACTCTCAAGGATTTCCAGCTGGTCTAAATCTCTCTGGGCAGTTTTTATGCCCGTTATCTTAGTCTCCCTGTCGGCCTAGGCTCACCAGGACAGAGTTTTAAGATCCTGGAAATCTCTGACCACTGGGCAGGACTTGGGAATGAAATGTGTCAGGTCATGGAGGACAGGGGCCAAGGGGAAAACTGTGGCTTTCTTCCTCACTGGCCAGGGGAAGATCTCCCAGGCCCAAATGCCAATGACCTCAGTTTCCCCGTCAGCCTAGACTCCAGGACTGCCCATTATCTTAGTTTCTCTATCAGCCGATGTTCCAGGGTGGAGTTTTATGTTCCTGGGAAGCCCCGGGAATGCCAAGACAGAGCCTCAAATGTGTGTCAGGTTGATGGGGCAGAGATGGAACATCTGGAGAGAGAAAACTGTTTCTTCCTCACTGGCCAGGGGAAACTGAGGCTTCCTCTGTCAGGGGTTGGGTGGGGGCACAACAGGTGATGCTCAGGACTCACTCCTGACTCTGCACTCAGGAATCACTCCTGGATGGGCTGGAGTGATAGCACAGTGGGGAGGGCATTTGCCTGGCATGCGGTTCAATTCCCAGCATCCCATATGGTCCCGTGAGCATCGCCAGGAGTAATTCCTGAGTGCAGAGCCAGGAGTGACCCCTGAGCAACGCCAGATGTGACCCAAAAAGAAAAAAAAAGGAATCACTCCTGGCAGTGCTTGGGGGAGCCAAATGGGATGCTGGGAATTGAACCGGGTTGGCTGCATGCAGGGCAGATGCCCTCCCAGTTGACTTGTCATTCTGGCCTCTCCTCTGATCCTCTTTAAATGCCAGGGAGGAAGGGCCCTGGCTGGGCTGTTGGGCAAGCCTTATTTATTTATTTTCATTTCGGGGGCCACACCAGCAGTGTTCAAAGCTTACTCCTCGTTCTATGTTCAGGGATCATTCCTTGAGGGAACCTGGGGACGGGATGCTGGGAAATCGAACCTGGGTTGGACACACGCAAGGCAAGGGCCCTCCCTGCTGTATTATCTCTCTGGCCCGATATCCTTATTTCTTTTTTATTTACTTGGGGAGAGTGATTTGGGCCACACCTGGCAGTGCACCGGGGAACCATGAGCGGTGCCAGGGATGGGACTGGCGTTGACCACATGCAGGGTGGGCATGTCTGAGCTCTCTGGCCCTGCTAGTTAGGACTCTAAGCCCGGGGAGGTCAGTGGACCAGGGGACCAAGCAGATGCCACCTGGCTCTGAGCTCAGCGCTTCCGTTGGCTCCGGCCTTGGGTGACTTCTGAGGTGCTGGCGTGGACCTACTTCCTTTCACACTCGCTGACCCCAGGGTTGCTGGCCAGAAGTGCGCATGATGTCACCCCTGATGTGGACACACTGCTCACTGCCTACGGGGACTCTGGCTTCCAATTCAGGGTGGGGTAAGGCTCCTGGAGGATGGGTCGGGAAGGCTGAGGGGACCCCTTTGCCTCCCCTGGGAACCAGATGCTGAATCCCGAAGTCACATGCTTTTGGATCCCGACCTTCTGGGAAGCCGCCAACAAGATGCGGCCCAAGAGCCGGTGGCTGGCTGGAGCCGCAGTCTTGGCAGGAAACGGGGCTGATATGTCTTGTGTTACAGTTGTTCCTCTGCTGTCGCCAGGACAATGGCACTCCGCCTCTGTATTCTTGAGAAAGGAGACTTGGGGGCTGGTGACGCGGACAGGACAGTGACAGCAGGCGAGGCGTTTGTTTACAGTCCAGTGGCTGACCCTGACACCCCATAGGGTTCTCAAGTCCCGCCAGAACCGGGAGTAAGCGGTGAGCACTGCTGGGTGTGGCCACAAAACCAAAAAAAAATCCTCTTAGCTTAGAGTTTGGAACTCAAGGACTTGTGCACAGAATGGCCGAATTTCTGGGTTTGCTCCTAAAAAAAGGGGGTACAGGGACCCAGAGCGAGAGTACAGCGGGGAGGGCATTTGCCTTGCACTGCACTTGGTTGACCCCGGGTTTGATCCTCGGCTTACCATAGGGTCAGCCGGAAGTAATTCCTAAGCATCACTGGGTGTGGCAAAAAACCCAAATAGTAGTAGTAGTAGTAGTAGTAGTAGTAGTAATATTTCAAAAATTTTAAAAAGGGTGTGGGTGCGGGTGCAGGGCCAACATGTTGGGGCTAGCTTGGTCATTGGGAGCTCCACTCTCATCGCTATGCCTGTCTCATTAAACTTTTACATGTTTGGCTTTTTTCCACAAAAAACTATTTTTGGAGTTATAAAAGGGACTCTCTCAGGGTTAATTAAAACATCACATGCAGTAAAATAAAAACTGTTCCCTCATAGCCACAATCCGGCAGCGGGGCGAATACCTTAAATTCTGTTCTAGCTAGGTTCTACAATAGATATTCACATCCGGGAAATTTTGGGTCCAGAGGGACTCAGGGACCAGACGCAGCTCAGAGCTCCCCCGGGGCTCCCCGCCCTATTGATTAGGTGCCCGGGCTGGTGGCCCCAGGGAGCTGCAGGCCGAGGTGTCGCCCTCGCCCGGGCTCATGCTGGCCGCTCCCATGGCAGGACGCGGGCGCTGGCCTGGCGAGGCCTGGCCTGCAGGTGGCCCGAGACACGCGCGCGGGCCCGGACGGGACAAGGGCGCAGAGCCCGGGAACGGGCGGGGAACAGAGCGGATTGCGCGGGCGCCCGAGCGGCCCCACGCGAGGGGGAAAGTGACCTTGGGTGGCCACAGCTGCCTTTCTAGGGACAGGAAGGAAGGGCATGTGAGGGCACGGGGTCAGAGACCTCGAGGCAAGTGCAGGGGGAGGTGCGGGCGTCACTTTGGCCCCTGGAGGGCGGATGCATCGCCCCCTCCTCACCTCCTGAAACCTGCAGGTTGGCGGGTAGTGACCGCTCAAGGCAGCGGCGGGGCTGCTGCGGGTTTGGGGGGTGTCAACTTGTATCCTCTCTGAGCAGTGCAAATTAAACGGGGTGCAGGGGTTGCTAGGTGCAGGCGTGGGGGAGGGGAGGGATACTTGCTTTTCCTTTTACCCCGCCTCACCCATGCTAAAAGAAAGTGAGGAGAGCTCCCACACCGCCTTATAATCATGACAAAGATTTAAAAATTCAATTAAGAGGCTGGAGCGATAGCACAGCGGGTAGGGCGTTTGCCTTGCACGTGGCCAACCCGAGTTCGATTCCCAGCATCCCATATGGTCTCCTGAGCACCGCCAGGGATAATTCCTGAGTGCAGAGCCAGGAGTGACCCCTGTGCATCGCCAGGTGTGACCCAAAAAGAAAAAAAAAAGAAAATTCAATTAAAAAGGAAAATAGTCCATCGTGAAAGTGCACGGGGAGGCAATCTTTGTTGTTGCTGGTTTGGGGCCTCGCCGAGCTCTGCGCTGCGCTGGGGGCCCCTGCGGTGATGGGGATGGAGCTGCCCCCTGCACCCCCCACTCCCCCACCGTGCGCAGCTCACGCGCTCCAACCTCTCCCCAGTGCGTCTCCAGAGGGACGACAAGAAGTGTCACCAAAACGTCCCCCAAGTGTGGCAGACGCTGCCCTTTGACCTCTGCTTGCTTCCCTTCGGGGATCTGCCGGGAACAGCCGCTCCCGCGGGGCACCGGTTCAGCTTTATTAAAGGAGCGGGGGAAGGTCCCAAAGGTTCCCGGAGGCGCTTCCCGCCGCGCGCGCCGTTGGAAGGAAGGAAATCCGGGGACAGATGCGGTAGCGCCCGGCGCCTCGGGGAAGCCTCAGGCCGCGCCACCCGCCCGGGAGAGAAAACGCGACAGTTCGAACGCGCGCCCGTGACGTCGCGGCGGGCAGCGGGGCGGGTCCCGGCCGCGGCTTTCGTTTTCTCTTCTGGACCCTTCCGCGGCCCGCGGCCCACCCTGCACCCCGCGCCCAGGGGCGCACCGAGCCCCCGCGTCCCGCCGGGGCGCGCGCCTGCAGGCCGGGCCCGGGAGCACCGCGCGCCGAGTCGCCCGGGGCCGGCTCCGCCCCGTCCCGTCCCCGCACAGCCGCTGCCCTCGGTCCAGCCGGTTCCCCCGCGGCCCTTCTCGCGAGCTCAGTGCCCGCTCGGGAGGCTCCGGGGTCATCCCGGCCCCGTGTCCAGCCCTTTCGCTTCCGGGCGCCCACTAAATGTTGCCCCCCCGAGGCCGCGGCTGCCGCTCGGGGTCCCACGGGGGCCGCGGGCTCTGCAGAGCGCCCCGAGTGGGCGTCCGGGGGTGCTGGGTCGGGGGCAGCAGGCGTCTGGGGGTTGGACGGCGCAAGGCCTCAGCTTTCGCCGGCCGGGAGCTCCGGAGTCTGCGCTTGTCTCAGAGGGGGGAAACTGAGGCTCGCAGGCTGCGGAAGCTCGCCGCAGCGCCAGTCCGGAGGAACGTGGAGGCGGCGCGCGCGCCCGCGCGGGCCTCAGTTTCTCCACCTGCCACGCTCCCGGGGCGCCCCGCCGACGCCCCGCCCCGGCCGGCGCCCCGCCCCGCCCCGCCCCCCGCCCGCCGGCGCCGCAGCCCCGAGCGCCGGAGCCAATCGGCGCGGCCGGCGTCGGGCGCACCCGGACTCGCCCGCGGCCCTCCCGCTGCCCGGCCCGCTCGCCGCTGCTGTCCGCTCCGCCGCCGCCGCGCCTCGGAGCTCCCCCTCGGTAAGGCCCGGCCGCGGCCGCGCGCCGGCGGGCACGGGGGGCGGGCGCCGCCCTGCAGGAGGCGGCGCGGCTCCGGGCCGGGGGGCGCGCGGGGACCCGGACCCGGCCGGCCGGGGACGCGCAGCTGCTGCCGCCCGAGGGGAGCCGCCAGGTCCCCCCGGGACACCGGGGTGCGGACACGGCCGGAAGCGGGAGTGGGGCGGGGACTCCCCACTTATGACAGTGGGTTGAGTCCCGGGGGGGCGCAGGGGACAGCCCCGAGGTCGCTGCGCGCGCGGGGCCGGACTGGTCCCGTGGGCAGCCGGAGGGATGCTCGGCTCCGGACATGGCCGAACGCTCTGGCCCGGGGCCAGGTGGGTCCCGAGTTCTCTCCCAGCCCCGCGGAGTGGGTGAGGCCCGGGGTTCCGACGGAGCGCCGCGCGTTACAGCCCGTGGTGCGCGGGAGCGCGGGTGATGCCCGGTCCTCTGGGCCGGGGTACTGGGGCGTCGGCTCTCCCGCATCGCCCCGCATCCCGCAGTGGCACGGGTCTGGGGGCTTCTGCGCGTGTGCCGTTCCCCCTCCGCCCCCCACTCCGAGGCGGGCCTCCGCGACCCTCTCGGTCCCTCTCCCCTCGCGGGTAGTTTGGGTCTGGGCAGGGGTCCTCCGGGTACCCGGGCTGGCCCCGTGCGGGCGCTCCTGGGACCGTCCCCGCTCGAGAAGGTGCGTGGAGCGGCGGAGTCTCTCTCCACGCCGTCGCCGCTGGGCAGCGTCTGGACACGCCCAAGGCGCGGGGACTCCCGGTGTCCCGGTCGCCCGCGGTGGGCTCGGGCTGGGTGGCTGGGGTCTCGGCTTGGGTCCCCGCAGTTTGGTGCTGGGCGAGGCACCTGGGTGCTGGGGCCTGGGAGATCTGACCAAGGTCGTGCTGGGTCCCCCCCCACCCCCCCCCCCGGTGTCCGCACCAGGGGTGGGGGCGGGGGCGGCACGTGACCGTGACCGGGCCTGTGCGAACTTGGCCTTCGAGCCCCGACGGCGGGACCCGGAGGCCCGGAGCGGGGCGCGCTCGGCCGGGCAGCCCAGCTGCCCCCCGCTAGCCAAGCGCGCGCGGTGTCTTTATAATGTAAATCGGGGCTCGGCTTTCCCTTACCCCGGAGGGGACAAAGATGAGAGCCGGTGCCACTTCCCGAAGCCGAGGGTCGCAAGTGCCCGGGAAGTAGCCAGGTCGAACCCAGAGGGACCCCGCGCGCCCGCCGGGGACACGCTCACGTCCCCTCCTCTCCGCGCCCGGCTGAAGGACAGCGCCGAGCCGGGAAGCGGTAACTTTTGTCGCTGACCGAAGAAAGTGAAAATCAGTTTTACCCCTGGAAGCGGGTATTTTGTTACACTATTTTCTGGCCCCGGCGTCCGATTTCTGGTCCTTCCAGATCTTCAGGCTGGTGCGATTCCGTCCGAACCACAACGCGGAAAGAATAACGATAATAACAATATATAAAATGGCCGCACTCCGCGGGTCCGTAATTGGGCCTCGCCCCTTCCCCCCACCCCCACCTTCCCGAAGCCTTCAGGGGGGCTGGCAGCGCGCGGGGATTAGTGCAGATGCTGGGGATTCTGGCGAGGGAGGGTCTGGCGTTAGGCCACCGGGGCGCGTCGCGGGCGAGGGAACCGGTGCGGGGGCCCGGGGTGGCCCCCGGGGGGTGGCCCGGCCCGGTGCGCCCCGGGGTTCCTTGGCGAGCCTCAGTGACGGGGCTTCCTTCCCCGGAAGCATCCCTGCCTGGCCTGGCCTTGCGCTGGCCACTCGGGTCCAACAGCTGTTGAATGGACCGAATGAAATAAACGAAAATAAATCAGGGTGGGAGGGGGCGCGGGGCGTGCGCGCGCGCGCGCGGCGCCCAGCCTCGGTGCCAAGGCGCCCGTCGGGGTGGCGGCGCTCCGGGTCCACGCGCGAGCCCCGGCGCCGTGTCGAGCCCGAGGTGCGGCGGGGATGCAACCCGCTCCCTGCCGCCGCCGCCGCCGCCGCCCTTGGCCCGACCCCGACCCGCTGCCAAGGCCGGGCCCCTGGGGAGTCCCGGGACCGGGGCCCGAGGCTGGACGCCACGGCCGCGCCCGGTGCCCATTCATAGAAACACCGCGGGCCGCTCCGCGGGCCCCGCCGCCGCCGCCCGCGCCCTCCCCCACCCGCCCGCGCCCCCCCCACGCGCCCCCCGCGGCCGCCCCGCGGCTCCCCGCGCCGCCCCCGGCGATGCGCGCCAGCTCGCGCCGGAAGGTTCCTGCGGGCACGGCCGGTGGAACCGGATCTGAGCGGCCGGGCCGCGCCGCGCGGGGGCGGGGTTCGCGCTAACCTTTCCCCTAGTTTTCGCCGCCGTCACGTGACGCCGCCGAGCGGGGGGTGCGGGGGTGCGGGGGGCGGGGCGCCCCGGCCGCGCGCGCCGCCGCCGCCGCCGCCGCCGCCGCCCGGGGACGCGGGCCAAGGCTGCAATTACGGACGCGGCGGCGGGAGGGGGAGGCGGCCCGGCCGCTGCCGTACTTTGATCGTTTGCATTTTTTCCCTTTGTTGGAGAAATTGTTTAGTCACCCCGGCGTGGTTCAGAGTGGGTCGGGGGGGGGTTGGGGGGGCCCCCCGCCCCCGGCACCCCGACTTCCGAGCCCGACTGGGGCTTTTTCCGCAGAGAAGCGGCCCTCGAGGTAGGAAGTTGGCGGGGTTCAGCGCCCCCCCCTTCCCCCTCCATGCACGCGGGCCCGGAGTCCGGCTTTGAACTTGAACTTGAGCGGTGCCGGGGGAGGACGTCTCTGGTCTCCGTTCCCGACTGTTTGCAGATGCAGCTCCCGGGCTGAGCTGGCCGCCGCCCTCACTCCCCTGCAGAAGCCGTTAGCCATTTCTTGGACGGTTCTAGAAATAGAATGGGTTGCCCAGGGCACGTTGTGGTGGTTGTTTTTATCGGTTACTTAACACAGGCGGGGAACATTTCCTTCTATAGCCCCAGTATCCCGTGGCCTTCCGTGAACTTCACCTTTTACCCCATGCAAATATTGGGCGAACGTCGCCAACGTCACTTGTTACCCCATGCAAATATTGGGTGGACTTTGGGCTCCCAGCGCGCCCTGGGGCCGGGCCAACTACCCTTTAGGGGCCAGGAGACGAGCCGCCGAGTGTTCTCTCGGTGGAATCGACCACTTTCTGTGGGGTTGTTTTTTTGTTTTAATTCCAGGCTTGTTTGGGGGAGTTAATAATTGAACGTTTATCATTGCAGAGTGATGTGTTGTCCCCAGGTGGATGGCCCCGTGGTGGGTTGGGAAATACATGGCACAGTCCTTTCCGGGACTGGGCCAGCTGTGGGGCCTGCACTGCGCTAGGTACAGGGAAGGAGTCGCGCCCCCCAGTCTCTGTGGCAACCGTCCCAGGAAGCCGGAGCGCCTGGATTCGCTGGTGCCTAAGCTCCACCTGCACCTCTCTGCCCTCCCCGCCCAGTCCCGGCATCCAGCAGGCCTCATCGGCACATTGGGCAGATATCTGAGGTACCTGGATTGTTCCAACCCTGGAGCAGGGCGGACTGGGTTGGTGGACGTTCCGGAAGGGGCAGCAGGAGAAGATCTTGCTCTAGCTGGTTTCCGTAATCAAGGTTTCAACCAGACACCTGCAGGCGGTTTTGGTCCAGACCCGGGGGGGCCCTGGGTCAGGGGTCCCAGGTCAGGGGATCGGCGACTCCCACCAGGGCTTTTGTGCCTGGGGCCTCCTGTCTTCCCCTTGGTGCGGTCAGCCGGTTGGACAGAGAGCTCCCATGCAGTGAGCCGTGGAGAACAGGATGTATGGGGCTCTGCCCGCTTCCGGGAGGGCTTGGTCAGCCCTCCTGTCCCCCCACTAAAGATTTAACATGTTGGTGAAACCCACTTGCCTTCATCGCCATGTCCTTCCCCTATGTTGTCTCTGTGATGACAGACTGGGGTGCTCGTTGGGGACACAGGGACATAGGCTCAAGGCTGGGGCGGGGGTGTGGAGGGGTGTGGGGGGATGGGGGGGTTGGGGGTTGGTGGTTGAGATAGTGACACTTCCTGCCCCTGGTGCTCCCAATTCATTTTACTTACCAAGGGGTTCCACCCCCAGGGGCCATCCCTGCAGTGATCAGGAGGCCCCTGGAGTCCCTGTTGGGGATTCTCAGCCCGCTGGACTGGAGCCTCAGAGCAGGGGCCCAAGGATGTGGTGATACTGAAGTCTGGGTGACGGGGGTCACCTGCGGTCCCACCCACCAGTGGTGGTATTTGGGAGACCATGTGTACAGGGCATAAACTGGCCCCCACCCCATCCCCTGCACCCTTTTTTGTGGTGCTTATACTCACCTGATGTGGTGTAGTGGGAAGTAGGCCCTGGGGGTGGCAATTGTAGCAGCTGCCAGGATCGGACTTCACTCATGAGGGTCCCTGGGGGGTTGAACCTGGGACCATGTGCTACTAAGCATGTACTCGAACCCCCTGCATTGTTTCTCTGGGCCCCAAACTAACTTGCTTGCCGGTTGTTTTGTTTCTGTTTGGGGCCACACCCAGCAGCGCTCAGCGCTTTCTCCTGGCTCTGTGCTCAGGGATCACTCCTGGCAGGGCTCTGGAACCCTGTTCAGTGCCAGCGATCCAGCTGGGGTGGTGACTTATGCAAGGCCAGAGCCGTCCCTCAGTACTCGCTCTCTCTGGTCCCAAGGAACCTCCTAAAAACTTTTGGGGCACCCCTGGCGATGCTCAGGGGATTCCTGGCCCTGTTTGGGGATCACTGCAGGCAGTGCTCAGTGACCTGCAATCGAACCCGGGTCAGCTGCGTGCAAGGAACAACTACTCGCTTTGCTGTCTTTCTCTCTGGTCCCCAGTAACCTTGTCTCTCAGGCTCTCCCCTGCTCTGTAGTTCCCCTTCGCTTTTGGTGAACCGGTGTTGATAAGATGACACGCTTGTAGCAGCTTTCTGGGCCATCTTCTCTAGTGCCCCTCTGAGGGTTTTGTTTATTTGGTTTGGGGGCCCCATTCAGAGATGCCTAGGACTTACTCT